TTCAAGTATTGGCCTCCCTGACACTGACACCATAGTGTAGCAGATAAAGCAGCTGCATATGGATGCCGGTTTGCGTCCTGGCTGCTCTGCTTCCGCTTCAGCTCCCTATTAATGTGCCTGGGAGAGCAGAGGATAACGGCTCAAGTACTTGGGTGCCTGCACCCATGTGCAAGACCCAGAAGAAGGTCCTGATTCCTGGCTTTGGAACAGCCCAGCTTTGGCCACTGTGGCCGTTTGGGGAGTGAACCAGGAGATGGAAGATCTCTGTAACACTACTTTTAAAAAAAAAAATCAAAAAAGTATTGGCCCTTTCAAAACTTGAGGTGATAACCTTGACCCACGGGGAAATAACGATACCAAAGGATCAAACACCAGTATATTGATAGAAAAAGAAACCTTCACTGTGAAATAGAGCTAGAACATGGAGATGACTTTGATTCAGTCTGCAATTATCACTTCAGAATGCAGTGAACTGATTTCCCCTTTTCTGGGCCTCAATTTTCACACTTGCAAAAAAGAGGGGCTGGACTACAAAACTTCCAAAGCCCCTCTGCCTGTTTCTAATCCATTTCAACTACTCACCAAACGTTCCGAATGTCTTCCAGGTGCCAAACCTGGTGTCATGTGCTAGAGGAAGACAGGGTTCCCATATCATGATTCTTTGGGGAAAAGGAACAGGGAGGAAGGTCCTGATGTACTTCTTAATGACAGGACACCAAGACAGGTGCAGGCCACTTCCTTTCCCCACTCCACTGGACATGAGGACAGCAGTTCTTATGTCCTTCCCTTCCTGGCTCTGACATATATATCTGATGCAGAGGGCTGCATCTATGCAAAACACAACAGCCAGTATAAACATCATCAGGATCGTTCAGCTTGCAGGAGACATACTTGCAGCTGCCAAGTGTACCTACAGGTGCTTTTTACACAGTCATGAGATCCTGATGCCATCTCTGTGTCAGAGCCAACAGTGGACAAGGTACGATTAGCAAGCTAGATGGCTATCTTTTCAATAGGCCTTTGCTTTCTCATCCCTGATTCCATTATCTGTTATTGTCACTGGGGCCAAGAGATTAAGGGCTTACACTCCTCAGGCTGCAGCCTGAGAGAAGGAAGCAAAATGAACTCATTCACAAGTTGTGGCCTCATCATAAGGTAGGTACAAAAACCTGTGTCCAGATGTTTCCAAAGTGTGCTTCCAAACAAATTCACAGATCCCCAGACAGTAGAGTTGGAAAAGCTCTAACAAAGCAACCACTGCCTATATCTCAAGCCAGCCTCAGCAAGTAATTAACTCTGCTTGAGGAGCAGTGCTGAGAAACAATCTGAGGTCAAGTCAGGCTTAGTGGGAAAGAAATAGATTAGCAAAGCCTGCCCAGGCCATGGGCTGGGAAGCACCACTACAATACAATTTGCCTTATCCCCGCCTGAATCTAAGCCTTGCTTTGAATATAAGAATGCAAGGCTCAGAGAGGTCAAACCACTTCACTGAGGTTGCACAGTGAGCTTAGAGTAGCAGAGAGAATGGAAAGTCAGGCCTTTCCCTGCAGGGCTCCTTGGAAAACAGCAAGGCCAGGCTGAATAGAAAACTGGATTTTCCAGAGTAAACCAACAGCCTTCCACCACTTCCTGATGGCCTCAGATATCATATGGGCATGCAAAGAAGTGATCCACAATCTAAAGGATATCAGCCATTCTGAGTAAAACTACATAAATCATTCTAGGGCTACAGTCTACAGTTCTTAACTCTTTGAGTGTGTGAGGCTCTGCTATCAAGAAGATGGAAAGAGGGGAAAGAGAAAAGTATCGATTTCTGGATGTTCCAGGAATAAAGTTCAGCTCCGACAAGAGACAAACTCCTGACACTTGGCAATTAAAGTCATTGGTATTCCATTATGCCACCAACTTGTAGTTCACGGATGCTATTATCCAGTGAAGTCATTGCTCACATGAGACTACAGCTCAGAAACGGGGAGGGGCTGCATCTGGTTTCCCAACACTGGTTTTTCAATACTCAGTTCCCAAGCCTGGGATATGAAACAGACTACAATTAAAACTAAGATGCTAGGCAGACTAGAGCCAGAAAAGAGAGCGAACCCTGAATGGACAGGAAGATGGCTTCAAGACTGGCTTTTATGCTTGGTCTGTGCAGTTTCTGAGAAATCAGCTGCCTTACCAGATGAGCAGTGAGCCCTGGGAAGAACTCTACGTGGTTCACAGACCAGCTGTCCTGCCCAGCGCCACAGGCACAGCCCAGAAGGTGCTGGCACAACAGACATAGAGACTCACAACCGAGCAGACGATGTGGCTGTTCTTCATGTGTGACTCCCTAGTCCTAAGTCCAGTGGAGAGACAAGGAGAGAGGAGTGTTCAGACAGCAGGTCTTCTGTTCCTGGGGAATCTTCTAACCCCACCAGAAACCTACCAGTCACTTGCAAAAAGTCCCCATCATACTTCCCTTCACTACCCCTGCAGTCTTCCGCTCCCAGAAGGACCTTCATGTGCTCTGAGAGGACACTCGGCAATGACAAGAGTGATAGGATCAGCCCAGATCCAGTCAGCCCTGTGGAAACAGCACTGTGTGCTCCACAACATGGCAGACTTCTCAGAGAGCAGCCTGCCGCTGTACTACATGCACACATTCTAGCTCACTTGGATGAGGGACAGAACCCTAGGGCTCAGAGAGGTCATTCGCTTCCCTCCAGGCCAGCTGACGTTCAAACCAGCGACCAGGGCCCAAGCCCAGAGCTCTGCATCTGTGGAGGAGTGGAACACAAAGGAGCTATGTTGGAATTTGGCAGAGTGTCCCCAAAAGGCAGCACATGAATGCCGAGTCCCTGCGGCACCTACAAGAGCTTATCATTGGGGAAACAGCTCCAGTCAGCTGCTCTCAGGAGGCAAAGAGATCGTCTGTAATGCAAGGACAATCAGTTGGCAACTGCCCACCAAATACACACACACACACACCACTCTCCCTCAGGAACTCTGGTTCCTGAGCAAATGCCATGAACAGGAACAAGACCTTCCCAGATGGGTCTATCTATCCATTTCTGTAAGGGGTAAGCAGCACCCAACTGCTGCCTGTCTGTCTGTCTGTGTGTGTGTGTGTCTCTCTCTCACCTAAAAGGAGTGCCTTACTCCATTTTTACCCTTTTGCACAACTGAGTAATTAACTGTGAAATCTCAGGCCGAATTGGTACTTAACCTTGATCTTCCCTCTACACATCAAAGTCTATGGAAAACAAAAATCAGGATGTCTGGGATGTACAGCAAATCAAATACAAGTGCTTTCTCCAGGCAGAGGTGGAATGTCAAGTTATTCAAGCACTGGCTACAGCTATTCCAAAGGAGACCCTGGATTTGGGCAGGAAATTTCCTTCTTGGCCTGGGTTATGTCCTGTGTGGAACCCAGACCCCAAAGAGAGACGAGCTGAGGGAATCCTGCCTCCAGAAAGGAGAAAGAAGCTGTCCCCAGATTCCTCACAGGTTCACTGGCTGTATCACAGAACACTTGAAGTTGTAATCACATTTTACAGATAGACAAAGTAAAACTCAGACAGTGAGAGGGCTGCTGACCAAGGATGCACAGAGTAAGCTAACAGCTGAGCTAGTAACAGCACCCTGGCCTCCTCACCCTGGTGCTGGTATCAGGGAGGAGGTGAGGAAGGGGTTTCCTGGAGGAAAAAAAAACCCCATATAGACACAGAATTTGTGGCTGTCAGGGCTTGAACCAAGGGGTTTAAAACAGGAGCCAGGTCTTAGCTCCTGAATAGTAAGATCAAGCAGAAAGATCAAGCGGCCTTTCCAGGACAGTTTGCAACAATGACAGGAGCGTCTGGCAGAGCTTGGACTGGTTGGCCCTACAGCAAAGAGCCCTCTATCCTCACCATGCCAGGCTGCCCAGGCAGCAGCCTGACACTGGCAAGAGAAGGGAAAAGCATGGATGCAGCCTCAGAAAGTCAGTCCGCGCCCTTGAGGCCAGCCAACTGTCCATCTGACCTCGTTGCACAAATTATCCACTTCCCATGGGAACAGGGAAGTCCCATAAGAACATCTGTGATGTCTCTCGCTGCGTGGAACAGCTCAGGCATGCCCATGCTCTCGAGCATCTGCTGAGCCGAGGCTGGAGGGTAGCAGTGATGTGACAGAGCTTGCAAGCGCTGGCTCGCTCTCTCTCTCTCAAACACACAAGACACTGATTAGCTTCAGTTGCAAAAAACACCATATCTAGTCAACTGGACAAGTTTACTCAACGCATGGGGCACCACTACTCTCTGGAGACATTTGGGTGTCCACCCACGGAACCTCTACTCTCTGGATTCTCAGAAGGACACAGAAAGCAAGCAAGTCACTCAAAGACAGAGAGCTCATCAACCAACACACACCCCTCCCCGCAGGAGTCCTCTGAAGGAAGCTGTGGCAGACAGGAGCCTGAGATACACATCCTCCAAGGAACCCACAGAATCTGAGAAAGAAACAAGGCTGGGCAGGAAGAGGAGGGAGCCAAACAAGCCAGGCGGCCGAGGGATCTGCCTGTGGTCAGGGATGGCTAAGTAGGCATGGGGCTGCCTTGAGCTGGGACCGCCAGGATCAGCAGGTGGGAAACAACGAAGCAGGAGGACCAGAGTCTCCATTCCCACAGGCAGGAGAAGCCACTCTGAGAGACAGGGACGCAGGCAGGAGCCTCTTAAAGATGCTGGAATAAGTCAGGGAATACGGGCTGGGGACACGCACGAGGCCGGCGGCTGATGCTGAGCGAGCTCCCGCCAGAGTACCGGGCTCCTGGCTTCGAGCGCCGGCTCTGTTCTGACTGGCGCGGGATCTCCGGCAAGCCCCTTGTCCTTCTCTGAGCCTCAGCGTTCCCATCTGAAAAATGGCAAGAGCAGAGTCTTCCGGAGCTGGCTCTGAGGAGAGAAGACAGGCGAGGGCGAAGGCACCGCTGGGCTGGTAGGGAATTAGTGGTGAGGTGTTCTCACACCCACATTAAACTGGGCACTCACCTGTCCCGCCGCCGGGGCTGCCGCTGCCTCCGCCGCCCCGGGTCCCCCGGGGGTGCCGTCGGGCTGCCGCTCGCGGTAAAGCGCCCAGAGCCCCACGTTGGGCAGCAGGACCAGGGCCGCCAGCGCCAGCGCCACCGCCTGCAGGAGCCGTTTCTCCTTCCGCCTCATCCGGGCCGGTGAGCCCCGCCTCGCCCCGCCGGCCCCGCCGCGCCGACCCCCGGCTCCACGCGTCCGCCAGTCCGCCCGGCGGCGGCAGCAGCTCGGCCAACAGGAGAAGCGGCCGCGGCGCCGGCCCCGCTCCAACTCCGCGGCACTTCCGCCGCTCGCCGGCCCGGGGAGCCGGGCGTCGCCACCGCGTCGCCGCCGCAGGGAGGTCACGCCGCGGCCGCCGGCCCCTGGCCCCGCGGGACCGCTCGCCGCGCGCCGCCCTCCCCGCGGTGGGCTGCGGGGCGCCGGGCGCGGGCGGCCTCGGCCCGGCTCGCGCGGGGTAGCGGCCGGCTCCTCGCGCGCCGGCGTCCGGGGCCACGTCGCGGCCCCCTCTCGGTCGCGATGGTGCGGCCCGCTCCTCGGCGGCCGCCCCGCCCGCGGGAGCTTCGCGAAAGTCGGGGAGTTGGGGAGTTGGGCGCTAACTGGTGCGAGCTGGGCAAATGGTGGGCGGGGTGCGTTCCCGCGCTACTCCGGAGCGCCCCGGGACCTCTGCGTCCAGCTGGGCCGCCTCTATTAGGGGGCCCCCCCGTAGCCCAGAGTTGGCGGACTCCCTGGGGTTCTGCAAATAGTGCTGGAGCTGGGCGCACACCCCGCGCTTTGCAGCCCCCGGAGCTGCCGCTTCTCACTCTCCTGGTCTTCGACCCCGGGACTCGGTATTCCCAGCTGTGGAATGGAGCTGCAGCGGTGCGGCCCAGGTTGCCTTGTTCTCTGAGACCCCTGGGGTTAGGTGTGAACGCCCGCGCACCACCGGGCGGTCCCGGCAAACCCGAGGGACGGAAAGGGGAGGCGACTAGAGCCTTCCTACAGAATTTTTTCTCTCACAAGTGCACCCCCTTCGAAGCTGGGATGCCTGACTGCCCTATGTGTGCGTCTGGACCCTTGGCACCCATGCCTCGCGTTTGGCCACTCAGCAAACCATCAGCGAGTGTCTTCTCCATGCGGAGCAGACGCGGTGCCAGGCTCCAGGAAGGGGAACACGTGCAGACCCCCAGTGCACAAGTGTGGGAGCTGAAACGTTTAACACGTGGTAGCACCAGACGAAGCAAAAGGATGTGAATATGGTGGATAAGCACGAAGGGCCCGGAAGGGCTCTGGCCCTCGGAGTTGGAATTACCCCAGCGAAGCCTGTGGCTCCTCCGTGAGCGCCCAGTGCTCATCACTGAACTGCCTCCTCCCTGCTGGAGAAGGGACTGGGACGCTGCATCCCCTTGGTTGCCTTCCTTTCTGCCACCTCTCTCCGTACTCACACGTCCTTTGGGGATTCGCAGCTTTTGCAAGCGCCGCCCCCAAGCCCTGGAGCTGCGCCCTGGGCACCCTCCTCTTCCCTGTTCTGCCAGCCCCAGGCTGATCCAAAGGGTTCCGTTTTCTGATGTACTGTTTTCCAGGCTTCCACACTCCTGGGAGCCCCCCCACTTCGTCCGGCCTGATTTGCAAGCTTTTTTTGTTCCCCTTTGTGTACCTTCCACGGTGCAGTTCCTTCCCGGCTCCCCATCCTTGGAAATCTTGTTCAGCCCTCCGTGTCTAGCTGCACTGCTGCCACCGCCTCCACAAAACTACACCCCCTCCTCCCCGCGCCCGGGGTCAGGGGAGAGGGACTGCCAAGTCTTTTGGGATTTCTGTCAATCATTACCTTTCACTGAATAGTGCCTTACAGGCAATGGGTGAGCCGACCGACTCGCTTCTTGCTCCCAGTTACTCTGGCAGGTGGGTGCTTGGCTTACACCCATTTGCAAATGAGACTCCCATCGAAGCAGCCAGCAACCACAGCGGTGCTGTTTTGACAGAGGTTCCTTTGTGACTCCTCTGCTCAAATCCCCGCAGTGGTTTCCCCACCTGCCAGTGTTTGCTGCAAGGAAGCTGACAGGACGCCTCGGGGTCATCTGGCAATTAGACCTCTCCCCTTCTTCACTGTGCTCCAGCTACACTGACTTCCTTCCAGGGGCTCACAGCACCTCAGGCACACTCCACCTCAGCTGGCAGTGTCCACTTTTCTATTTCTACATCCTGGTCCTAGGTCTTTCTCAATGTATTTTTTATTGTGCTAAAATATACATAATAAAATTTACCTGGGGCCGGAGTCGGGGTGCAGTCGGGTAAAGCCAGCACTGATAAAGCGTGGATCCCAGATGAGCATTGGTTCCTGTCCTACTTGCTCTGCCTCCAATCCAAGCTCCCTGCTAATGGGCCTGGAAGAAGCAGCAGAAGACCGGCTTGAGTCCCCCAGCCCCTGCACCGACGTGGGAGACCTGGATGAAGTTCCTGGCTCCTGACTTCTGCCTGGCCTGTCCCTTACCATTGCTGCTATTTGGGAAGCAGATGGAAGAAATCTCTCTCTTCCTCTCTAGCTTCGCCTTTCAAATACATAACCAGATTTCAAAATGCAATTTATCATTTTAGCTTTTTTCTTTAAAGCAAATAGGCATTAAGAGCATGCTCTGTGTTGTTCCAGTCACCACCATCTTTTCATTTTCTCAAATGGAAACTCTGGACCCCTTAAACACTAGCTCACCCTTCTGTCAGCGACCAGCAGCCACCATCCTACCTTCTGCTTTCTCCCTCTGTAATAGACACCTTGTTTCAATGAAGTCATACGCGATACACCGGGCTTATCTCACTTAACTCTGCAAGGTTCCTCCGTGTGGCTGCACTATAGGAATTTCATTCCTCTTTAAGATGAAAAAATATCCCATGGTGTGTAATGTCACATTTAGTTCATTCACAAGATGCACATGTTACTTATTTCAGCCTTTTGGCTGTTGTGAATGGTGCTGCTATGAATAGTTCTTTGTCTTTAATGCTGCATTGGGTACATACTATTTATGTAAAGTTACACTATTTTCTTTGTAGCTCCACAGCACTGAGTCCAAAGCTGCTAATAACCATGAGAGTGATGTTTTTATACACACCAGGCTCATCCTGCTGCTGAACTCATTTGTTGCTGCCCTGAACCTTGGGATAATCCACGCAAATCTTCACTGTAACCTATGGGACCCTACATAGTCTGACCTGACCACTAGCCGTTGCTTCTATCATAATTTTTTAAAGGTTTATTTATTTTGTGACAGCCTGAAAATTCAAAATGGCTTCAGTTTTGTCAGGCCCTCTAAGACTACATGAGTCTAGGGCAAGCAAAAAAACAAGTGTTCAGTTAGGGTTGCATACGTGGAACCAGAATATTAGAAAGACATCTACTATCTACTTAAAACTTGAATAACTGCAAAACTGGCTCTATAAACCATATTTGCTTGCTTGCTTGCGCTTCTCATGACCAAGCTCTTAGTCTATATAAACACTTGCACAGTGGCTAGCTGAACAATTAACAGTGTTAATGTTTCTCCTAACGGTGCCTGGCAGTTCGGTTGCAGGTGGTCGACCTTCCACTTATCCTCAGATTAACACTCTGATGTAAAGTTTTCCCTGACAGCACAGGCCAAAGCAAAGGTCTTTTACAATCCTGGGAAGAAAGAGTGTTCAACCTTGTCAAGACAAGAATTCCTGACAGTTCCCCCTTTGTTACATGGCACCAGTGCTACCTTAGTGGGTTGGAGAGTTTTTCATGCCAGTATGAGCCTAAAAGTCCCTAACAGTGGCCTGTCAGGGCGGTATCCTATTGCTTTCCTAGGTGCATTAGCAATATCTGGATTAGCAACATCAAGATTCAAACCAGTGGTGCCCATATGGGACGCTGGGGCCCCACGTGGTGACTTTACTCACCATATCACAGCAAAGGCCCCTCTCTCCTTTTGTCTGGACTAATCCTGCTGTGTTCCTCAAATTCAGCAATTTGACACCCATCTCAGGGACTTTACAAATGTGCTGTGCCCTGAGAACTCTCTTCCTGTAAACTTGGCCATGGCTGGCTTCCTCCTCCCACTCAAAGACAGAATCCCTGACCAGCTAATCCAAGACATCAGACATCATGTAGCGTCCTCAGGTCTCCATCTTGGTTTTTGTTCAGAGCAAGTGTCATTTTTGGTCTCCCTCTCGAGACTGTGAATTCCAAGCAAGCAGAGAATTTCGGCCACCCACCCCTCCACCCCTGCAGTATCCTCTGGCTGTACCTGCAACAACTTTCCTTAGTGTGAATCAAAAACCTGGAGCTCCTTCCAGACAGAGGAATTGACAAAAAGGGTCCTTTTTCCCAGATCACAGCCAAGGAATCTGGATGGAAGCTCTTATTGCTCCCAGCCACACAAAGCTGTGCTATGGTCCTCTCCTAGGTAAGGCATACAATAGGTACTTAATAGCTACTGGTAGAGTGAAGAATGGAGTTGAGGTCACAATGGAAGGGAAAACACTCAGCTCACTCCTTCCTACCCTTTCTTGCAGCTCCTTAGAGAATTCTGCAGGAAATTGGATTTGAGCTTTTTCTTATGTGTCACCAGAATCTTGTTGATCAAAGCTGCGCGTCGGCCTAGCCTGGGAACCCAGCTTTAATCCCAGGCCTCTTTGATCGCAACACAGGATGTACCCAAGCCAGGGGAGGGCTCCCAGGACCTCATCCTCCTGGGAGAGACAATATAACTGGGGACATTAGCTCTGGGTGGTTTCCTGGTGAAGCAGATCTAGGCATTGATTGGAATGAAACAAGCAGTGGCACTTTCAGACTGACCCCTTCCAAGTCCGCAGTGGGTATTAAATGAGATAATGTGTGTAAAAGATTTAAAACCAGTTCTGTTCTAGTGTAAGTACAAGTAGCTGTGGGTAAGATAAAACCCAGCACCAGCACCAGGCAGGGAGGACCAGGATGTCAACCATAGGATGAGACTTTCTGCTCTGTCTTATACTGGAGACCATCATGCTCAGTGAAATAAGCCAATCTCAAAAGGACAAAAATCATATGTTCTCCCTTATATAAGGCAACCTGCATGCAAAATACAAAATAAAGATACATAGGTAAACACATATATACATACATTCTCATAGATGAACTGTATAGTGGAGACTAGCATACAAGGAAGTAAAGATAACATTGTAGTATGCAATCCTACTCCCAAATAAAAGGAGGACTCCCAATG